ACATTTCAAGGGTAAATGCTAGTGGAAATCGGACAAGGGGTAGTGATGATCTTGGGTGAAGATCAAGTGTAACAATACATATTACCCTATTTATTTTGCTGATAATATTATAACTACAAACTTTTCTTCATCACCTTTTAAAAATAACTTCATAAATATAAATCATTAAGTTATTATATAAAAATGAAATTATTTTGGTGACATAATTATTACAACTTATAAATTAAATTTTTGATTAATTTTATACATTTTTTATATTTCTTTAAGGGCTTAATGAATTACAAATATTAAATTTGTCAATACACTCTTTTAAGACATTTCTTTTATACAAGACATATTAGCAAATATATTTTAACTGTGGACATTAGTAATGAATCTAATGAAAATTCAAATAAGTTAAAGTTTCCTACCATTTTGAATTGTATTGAAGATATGCAAAACTTTTTGAAGATATTTTTATAATATTAAAATTAGAATCAAAATCAAAAAAATTATATACAAAATATAAATCCTAAATATTATTAATAAAATGTTGGTTAAAATTAACAAAACTTTTACTAAAATAAAAATAATATTTTTAGTTATAATTTAATAAATAATTATTAAAAATTTATAAAAATTTATAAATATATAGTTAGATACCTTATAAACAACTTTATTTAATACTGTTTTAATCAATATATTAATATTTTTTAAAATAATTTAAATTTTTTACTCTTATATATATATAAAGTGGTTGGAAATAGGTAAAAAAAAAATGGGGGTTTTTAAAAATTTAATTTTTTAATAGTAAAAAATTTTATATAAATATTTCTAAACATTTCTAATATTTATATATATTATTTTTTTAATAAATTCATTGATTAAATTAAAAGTTATAATTTTTTAAAAAATATTTTGTAATCTTATTTTTGAATCAATTTTTTTAATAATATCTTTAGCTTTAAAACAAAATATATTAAAAAATTCTTATTATTATTTAAAATTATTTAATTAGTTTTTTTTTTATTGTATCTTCAAAATTAAATTAAATTATAAAAAAATTGTCATTTTTTTTGCACCATACTGTATATTTAATTGTTTATATTATAATTACCTAATAATAAAAGCATATACTTAATAAAAGAAAAGGTTTAATATGTAGTAGCTTTACGTTTAAAAATTTTTTTGGATTTTTTCGAAAACCCCCGTGTATTAGATTTTCTTTTATCGAGTAAACAGGGACCCGGAAAAATTTTGATGGTCGTAACTACTTTCAATAATGCTTCGATCATCAACACATACTGTATAGACTATTTATACACAGTTTCTTTTATCGAGAGTTGACCGTATACAGTTGTAGAAGGGTGAGAATTACTGTATAACATCGATAAATCAAACTTCACGTTTTATATAACTAAATACTTTCAACACAGCAATTACGCCTTGTCTAATAAGCAACACTGCTTCTTCATCTAACGAGCAAGTATATCGTTATTCAAATCATTTTAGTTAATAAAAGCTTACTCTTGCCACATTGTTTTTAGAATGTCTAAAGATTTAGAAGATATAGAAGATTTCCCATCTACCCGTGAGCAAGCCTCCAACGAAGAAATTACAAAATACGTGAAGCAACTTGATGGAGTGAAAATTCTCGATCCAGTCCTTATTATTTCTCCAAATCAAGCTTGGATCAATTTATTATGCAGTTATGGATAGATTTGCGACAAATGGTCTTCAAAATAGGCGAAGAGATCAGAATTCTCGTTGTATCTTTTACTTCACATCCATCACCGAACTCTATACTGTACGCGAAAATATTTATAATATTTTTCCCAACGCCTTCTTCATTTCTCCTTCCCTCCAAGCTCAACTCCTCACTGCTCAAACAAATCCAATCGGAACTGCATAGATATTAACAAAAGTGGGAGCACGCAAAAGTGATTTTGGGATAGATAATAGGTTCTGTGCATATAACTTTGTTAAAAAAGTTCTTTTAAATGATCATGATAAAAATTACTAATTTGATTTTACGTTAACTTTCGCAACCTTCTGACAGAGAATATAATAGTGGAAAATGGCAGTATTGATACCAAATAAAGCAAAAATCCATCTTTTCACAATGTTGGTATTCAAAAGTCAATATATAGAAGTATTACAGTTTCCTATTCTATTGTGAATGTTTTATTTTTATTATTCTTACACTATTAGATTTAACTTTCAAGGCCGTAAATTTAGAATCTGAAAATATTGATCACGATCAATTAGTGGACATTGGATTTTATAAGGAATAATGTTAATAAGGGCGAATTACTTACCGTGATCGGATTTTATTGAGCTTAGCGAATCTTGAAGATTTTCGAAGTCGAGTAGTCGACTCGTATATATTGCTGATTGATGTTCCTCACATGTTACACTAGTCCAATAATTTGACCCAATCTTTTCATTTTCCATGATTTGTTTTGCAAGTTCTGAATTTTTGGTACATTTATAAGGATACCATGTCAGTAAAATACTGCATAATTCGTAAGCTCTTAATCGATTTTGCGGTTTAACATCCCAGCACTTTTCTATCAACTCAGTTACTAAACTAGGCATATTTCTTTTGATTTCGGGTCGAAGGCCATTACAAATTCTAATTGCGAGGTTATTATCATGTGGCACGTTTCTAAAAGGAAGAATACCAGATAAAATTTCATTCATAATAATCCCAAATGAATAAATGTCTGATGACTCTGTATATTCTCCCCCGCATAAAACCTCAGGTGCCACGTATGGAAGTACACCGTACACTTTTTTCTTTTTAGTTATGGTGCTAGTGTACTGCTCGACCGGTTTACACAGACCCAAATCTGTCACGTAAAGTAGATTTCCTTCGGATAAAAGAATATTTCCAGTATGAAGATCGCGGTGAACAAGTTTAGCTTCGTGGATTTGACATAATCCTTTTGCAATTCGAATAAGCATCTAAATTTAGCATCCCATGACATCTCACGAAATTTAGGTAGGTTGTTCCTAATATTTCCAAAAGAGACAAATTCCATCACTATCGTCAAATTATTTGTTTCATCGTGTCGAGTGATTCCATAACATCGTATAATGTGAGAGGTTTTTCCACTAAAATTGTGATAATTTCTCATCTAAATTTATACATGAACAAACAATCAATTACTGTATTATTAAATACTGCATCCTAATATTTTTTTAGTTAAATATCATTTACCTCATTTAAAAATTCGTAAGAGATATTTTGCGAATTATTAAGGCATTTTAGCGCGACCTTCATAATTCCCCTTCTTTTCCACCGATTATTTCTAGCACTCCAATAAATAATATTTCCATCATACCATTCAGCTGAGTATACTTCTGAAAAGCCGCCTTTATCAATATATGTTATATCTTTAAATTTTGAATACGGAATCCATTCGAGTATTGTATAGTTATCTGTGGCTTGTAATTGGGTCTCTTTTATGAATGCGTCAATGTTACTATTTCCACTTTTCCAATTATCAAATTCTTGCCGAAAACGGGATGAATTACATGGTTGACACCAGAAAGAAGCCGTGGTTCCTTTTTTGCACTGATTACATGTTTCCCCTATAATAATATTAGTATATTTCACGAATTGATTAAACAATAACTTGAATCCGATGTTTTAATTACCATCTGCAGTGTTAATAAAGAAATATGATTTAATTATTTTATAAAAATTTAAGAGAACAACTAAATGCAACTTACACACTATAAATTTAGTAATTAATACTTCGTAAAATAATACACTGTATTTCAGAATAAATAATAAATGACAGGATTTAACTTACAATCTACATAAATAGAGTTAAATTTGATTAATTTATTACATATAAACTTTTGAAACAACGAAAGATAATTACCCCCTATAAAATTACAAGTTAATAATATGATAATGTCTCATAAAAATTTGAAGCAAATAAAAAGATATACTACTGTATTCAACTTACAATCTATAATTTCAAAAGTGCAAATTTGATTAAATCTTTTTTTTTTTTTTTTAAATTGTGTAAACATATTCTTACCGTCTGCAATGTTAAAAACGTTAATATGATTGGGTTATTTCATCTTAACATGTATTAATAAAATGAAATTAAAAATACTTTGTTAATTTAACTTACTATCTAAAATATCGAAGGATCCAAACATTTTTATTTAATTTATAAAAACGGATACTACAGTATAATAGAATGCGCTTGATCGTCTTACCTGCTACAGATAGTTATAGATGCATAGTAACAAGTACGATTATTAGACTACCTTTTAAATTTGTTTGTGAAATATACAATAAATGTTCAAACTTACTTTCTTCAAAGTTGGCTATATTGTATTCCCAAATGTGATTGATT